TTGGGAACATGTGTGACTCTGGATGCTTTGTAGAGTTTTTCTCCCAGCACACATCAAGGAAGTTGAAGTCACCCATAACTACCAGGTCATGTTGTTTGGATTCAAGGAGGGGAGCATCCACCTTCTTATCCTTGTCAGAAGGTTTGTAGCAGAGTCCAACCACAATACTGTTTGTCTGCTTTCTCTCCTCTCCTCACATGCAGCACCACTCCACCTCCACTTTGACCCTTTTGGTTTTTCTTGAACAACTCATATCCATCTACTACTACATTCCAGTCATGGAAATCATCCCAGCAAGTCTCTGTAATGCCTACTACATTATATCCCTCTGTCTGCATTAGAAGCCCAAGCTCTTCCTTCTTATTGCCAAAGCTTTGGGCATTGGTACATAGACACCTGAAGCCCCGCACCTTTGGCTCCGTTAGACCTGGCCTTCCCAGGTGGGTGTCTGCTCTCCATTTAAATCCCTGTTTTGGTTGTCTCTTTCCCATTTTGGTGTCAGTTTAAAGCCCTCTTAATGAATCTCCCCAGGCTTCTGCCAAACACATTCTTCCCTGACCTTGACAGGTGAAGTCCATCGTGTGCTAGTAGGCTGTCCTCCAGAAAACCTAGCCCATGGTCCCAGAATCCAAATTGCTCCTGCCGGCACCACCAAAGCAGCCAGTGGTTCACCTCCATTATCGTCTGCTCCCATCATATTCCCCTTCCTATGACAGGAAGGATCGAAGATGATCTTACTGTAAAAAAAGATTCTTTTTTACAGTAAGAATTATTTTGCCCATCCACTCTTCAGATTCTCTTTTTCCTCACCATATTATCAACTTGCATTTATTATACTGAAACCTGTGCTCCTTTCAGGTCACCTTCTGTTTTTCAAAAGAAACCTTTTGCCTTGTGTGTCTTCCTTGAATTGAGTCATTAACCGCAGTTGCATCTTTTTTTTAGAGTTGGTGGTCCCTTTCCTGATTTGAGGTATGCATTCTATCTGGGGCTCAATTAGTATAGTTTTAAATAGTTTCCAGGCATCCTGGAGCTTACTCTCTTAATTTTCCCCTTTAAACTTCCTTCTGGCTAGTCCCCTCATTTTAGCAAAGTTTCCTCTTTTGAAGTGAAAGGTGATTGTTTTGACTTTGGGGACAATTTTCTCTTGACGTGAATGCTGAACTGACAGAATTGTGGTCACTGTTCCCAGTCAACTCTGTTGTTAATGCAACAAACTTTACATCTTGCACTAGATCTCGAGACCTACTCAGAACCAAGTCAGAGTTGCTACACCTCTGGTTGGCTTTGTAACCACCTGCTCTAAAACAAGAACTCGTGGGCACTCCATGAAACTGCAGAGCGGTCGGGTTAGAACGGATAAAAGGAAGTACTTCTTCACCCAAAGAGTGATTAACACATGGAATTCACTGCCACAGGAAGTGGTGGGTGCTACAAGCATGGACGGCTTCAAAAGGGAATTAGATAAGCATATGGAGCAGAGGTCCATCAGTGGCTATTAGCCACAAGGTATAGCTAGGGGCTCTGGGGCAAATGATGCTCTGTCTTCTTGGTGCTTGGGGGGGGGGTCAACAGTGGGAGGGCTTCTAATGTCCTGGCCCCACTGCTGGACCTCCTGATGGCACTGGTATTTCTGGCCACTGTGTGACACAGAGTGTTGGACTGGATGGGCCTTTGGCCTGATCCAACATTGGCGTCTCTTATGTTCTTATGTTCTTATGTTCTTAAGCTTGTTTATGTGGCATGACTCAAGCACATATTTGCCCAACCACTATGAAGGTAGTTGAAGTCATTCACTATTACAACATTTCCCCCTTTGGTCTCCTCTTTTATTTCTCTCTCCATCTAAAGATTTGCCTCCTGGTTTTGATCAGGGGCCAATAGTACACTCCCACTTTTAAGTGACATTTAGGGCCTGGTATCTTCACCCATGAGAGGGAAGGTGGCATGGTATAATCCAATCTTTTCAGATCTCAGAAGCTAAGCAGAGTCGGTATTTGGAAGGGAGACCACCAAGGAAGGCTCTGCAGAGGAAGGCAATGGCAAGCCACCTCTTGAAAGCCCCTTGCTGGGTTCACCATGAATCGGCTGTGACTTGACAGCTGTTTACACACACACCTTCACCCATTGCCATTCCAAGCATACATCACTGTATTTTCTATATTATCATCATTTGCATTCCCCATCAGCTCTCAGCTAATGTAACGAATGTGTCAGATGCTAAAATCATGACACATACAACAAAGGAAAGCCTTAAAATGCCAGAAAAGCTTCATATAATATTGAAAGAAAAGATTGTTTATATCATAAGAATGTTTTAACTAGCTGATGCTTTTGTTTACGGTCTTACTCTATATACTTCTCATGAACAGAAGCAACTTTCATCCTGAAATTGATATGTAAAAAAGGTAAAGGTAAAGGTTCCCTTGCTCCCGACTCTAGGGTTGCGGTGCTCATCTCCATTTCCAAGCCGAAGAGCCAGCGCTGTCCGAAGACATTTCCATGGTCATGTGGCCAGCATGACTAAACACCAAGGCGCACGGAATGCTGTTACCTTCCCACTGAAGTGGTCCCTATTTATCTACTTGCAATTTCTTGCTTTCAAACTGCTAGGTTGGCAGGAGCTGGAACTAGAGACGGGAGCTCACTCCGTCATGCGGCACTCGGGTCTCGAACTGCTGAACTACTGACCTTCCACAGCCTGCAGTTCAGTGTCTTAACCACTTGAGCCACCGCAGCCTCAAAATTGATATGACATATGGATAAAGCACATTCCTTATGCACTTTAAAAAAAAACACCAGATCTCTTTTGTCCTGTAAGGTTCACATATGGTTACTTCTGTTTCCCATCTCTGATGTTATTCAGACCATCACCAGGGTTTTCTTATCCTTTTCTTCTTCTGCTTCACAGGCAGAGAGTATGCTTGCATCGAAAACATACTCCCCTCCCCCTCCTCTAATGTTCCTCATTTTTTATATAGTTTCAGTAGGGAAAAAAAGAAGAAGAAGACATATTTACTGACTGACTACTTCAGACAAGCGATCACTATGACAAATCTCATTTTAAATACCCCCACTACATAAGCTGTGATCATTGCTACTAGCTAGGAATATTGCTAACCTTCTAACCCAAGAAGAGGACATTTTCATCAGTTTTTTTCAAAGAGCCCATAAGAGGATGATGGACACCCAAAAAAGAGAGCGGGGGGGGACATGTCCTCTAAAAAAAGGACATCTGGTAGCCCTAAGTTTCCCTTTGTCCCTGATTGTTCCTACAATGCACTTCTGATATTTAATGTCTGGCCCTGCTTCCTTCTCTGAGAACTGTGGGGCTGTTTTGGAGGTTGGACATAAAAAGAATTAATGATCACATCATGAAGCTTTTGTATACTACTGAGTCTATTGGATTTTGGTGGATGATTTAAGCTGTATTTGAAGTATTGTAAGCTACCGTGAGTCCCTGGGTGGAGGCAAGGCAGCACATATTTTTTTAAAATAAAATAAGTGAATAAAATAGTTGATTACTAATGCCCAAGTACAAGATACACACATTTCTCGTCAGTCCTAAAGGTGTGCATCACACAGAAGCAGAGGCCCAGTCCATTCTGATTTGCTGCTGATGATCGTTTTAAAGGGTCATGCATCAAAACTCACATGTACGTCTTGTTAAGATTTGACAAAATGGGCATATGCTGTTATATTCAGTTCTTGTCCCCCAGGAACAAAAACATAAATATGGAAATTAGCCCCGGGGACTTCAATTCTACATTCAACAGGCATGATGAAAGGAGAGGACAGGACAGATAAAAGAATAATAGAGATAAGGAGAAAATTGAGTGGCAACGGAGACTTGACAATGAGGAGTGACTTCTGCCTAAGAAGTGAGATTTATAGAGTGACTTGAAGGATGAGAAGGAATACAGACTCCTATGAGTCCTGACAGCAATTTCTTAATTTCCATCTGTGGCCACAAATGGCAGCTCCTGCAGAAGCAGTCTAGCCCTAGGTTTTCTTCCTGTGCATAGTGGACACTGGAATGCTACCTCATACCCCACAAACACAGCAAGGCAGAACAGAGAGAAAAATGGATAATCTAGGAGAGGATTTCTGTCCTGGCTGAGTTAATTAATTGGCCCTGACTGCAAGACCATCTGTGTTACCTTCTAGAGCTGGGGCACTTCCCCAGGAACTAACTAGAGCTAGATCTTCTGAAGATGTACAAACTCCCTTGGATTAGGACCATTTCCAGTTTTTACATACACTAAAAGCAGACATGTGAATATAGTATTTTCAGTGCCGCAGCAAGTCCATGCTTTCTTCTGATCACATTACATATGCCCAGTTACAGAATTGCTTCTCATAGTACTACTTCACATGCAAAAGTACAAACTCATAAGTGCAGTATGAGAATTTTGTTAATGCCAGTTCAGCCATGCCAAGATAGCATATGACAATATCGGGCATTTGTCAGAGCTGTATAACCAGCAAACAACCCAACAGTTAACCATTCTCTCTTAGCATAGGGCATCTAAGAAAGCTACAGGCAGTATGAGAGAATTCTTAATAATTTACTGCCTCTTCCTGGTTAAGGATCCCTACTGAAGATGTCTTTCAAAATCCTACAGCTGGAGGGAATTACAACAGGGAGTGTTTTGGATTTGTTTTCTGTGTCTTTCCCCCCCAATAAATTATATCAGGTGGCTGACACTTCACTGGTTTTCCAGGACAAAGAAAACCAAAACCACAGGGCATCTGTTCTTATGCTGCAAAATACAAGCATATTTATTCATGAGCATGGGTCTTCATCTATGAAAATGTAACATGAGATTTGGCCCAGTCTCTTACAGGAGTGAGCTAACAGATTTTTATAGATGCTTTATAAGAATATTAGCAGTGCTGATACTAACATTTAAATGTCATAAGGCAGACTGGAATAGAGTCAGAGAGAGAAAGGGGAGAGAAGATTCAGGTGATGCTAAGTTCCCTTGCTTATGTTGCAGATCAAGGCACAGTACAGAAGGTTATAGTTCTGCCCAAAGATGACATGGAAACAGAGGAACTGATGCTGGAAGAGGTGGAGGTGTTCAAGGTAAGACTGTGCAGAGCCTATGTTCTTCAGCCTAAGTTCTGTGTTAGTCTGTACTAACCCATCCCAGCAAAATTAAATCCAGTGATGCCTTGAGAACTAACAAAATTTATTCCAACATAAGCTTTTGTGAGTCAGAGATCACTTCATCAGATGAATGCATCTCTTAAAGTGAGCTCGGACTCATAAACGCTTAGGCTTACCAAGTGGCGGCGGGGGATCCGCATGTCTTCACAGGATCCCTGCCACGGGGACGGCGACATGCGTTGCACCCGCCATCGCCAGGATGTGACGCTACATGTCACTCTGGCTACGGGACTCCAAACAGCCCCGTTGCCAGAGTGACGCGTTGCGTCACATCCTGGCGACGGTGGTGCAACGCGTGTCGCCGTCCCCGCGGCAGGGATCCTGTGAAGACATGCGGATCCCCCGCCGCCACTTGGTAAGCCTGCAAACGCTTATGTTGGAATAAATTGTATTCATCTTCAAGGTGCTATGCTGGGTTCCTGTTTAAGTTCTCCAGGATCACTGCTCCTCCATGAAGCATATTTTTCATATATGTGCTGCCAAAGTGAACACATAAATCACTAGCTCCTAACTACCAATAATAGATAACAGTTAAAAAAATATTAATCAGCCGTCAGCCAAGCACTTAGGACTTTCTGTTACTGAGAAAACATCTCCACCAACCCAATTAACAAGGAAAAAGAGGAAACGGAAGTCAAGGAGGAAAGCAAGCCAGATAAGAACAAAAAGAATAAACAATAAATTAAAATTCCAAGTGAAACTGATAAAAACAGAACTTAAATAAATAACGATAAAAGCCCTGAGAACAGAGCACAGCCTTCAGATAACCTACAGCATAACACTGGCCCATGAAGCATATGAAGTGGTGTAGTATAGTAATTAGGATCATGAGCTGTGAAACTTCCACCAGGCTTTACCATTAGTTCACTTGTTGGCATTAAGAAAACCACTATTCTTTCATTCTTTCAGCTGCAGTCCTTTATCTACAATACAGGAATAATAACAGTGCTCCAGGAATTATTAAGATAAAATACTTCCGACATTCTAACATCATTTTATCACAGTAATCTTTGGAACTGCTGGCCCATGACCCAGCTCGTCACAAAAAAAGGTCATTTTTTCTTTAGAATTGTGCTGTCCACCTGGAGGCCTGACTTTTCCTCTGTGGAAGGGGCAGCCATCCCTTTAGACCTGCATTAACTACCATCATGTGGTTCCCTTGTAGATTCCAGTCCACATCAAGACCATGACTATCTCTTCCAAAAGGGTGAGTTTTCAACATGCTGGTAAAAGGGGTGTTCTCTGACTAAATGTCAATAATATAGCCTTCTTCATGAAAAGATAAGAAATGAAAAAAAGTTTATCCATTCTGATATTTCCCTCGATTGACTGTTGTTGTAGTGGGCACACTGCAAATGGTTATGATAGGTTTGCCCACTCTGAATTGGGAGATTCTGAGAGATGTATGGGTGGAGCCTGGAGAGGACAGGCTTTGGGGGAGGGGCATGATGCCATAAAGGCCACCTCCAATGCCTCCATTTTCTTCAGGGGATCTGATCTCTGTAATCTGGAGAACTGTTGTAATTCCAAGAGATTTGGCAATCCTGGATGATGGGTGGAATGCCATTATGGCTTAACTGGGCAAGGAAGCTTTTCTGCCCACCCTCTGTCATGTAATACCTCCGTGATCATAAGCCTGTTTTGGGTACATTGTTGGAGGAAGATCTGTATCTTCACAGAGATCTGAATATCCTTTTTGCCCCAACAGCAACAGCTCTATGTGTCTTCAGCCATCGGGGTGACACACTTGGCTCTTCATCGCTGTGATGTGTACGGGGAAGCCTGCGCTGACTGCTGCCTGGCCAGGGATCCCTACTGTGCCTGGGATGGCAAGTCCTGCTCCAGATACTCTGCTTCCTCCAAGAGGTATCATGAGGCTAGGAGAGAATGGCAGGATTGGGTGTTCATTCTAGTACAAGGCTGTTTGCTGAGAGTGCTCTGGGAAGGTCTTACAGGAGTCACTGTGGGGTTATTTCTAGAAGAAGTCAGCTTTGGGGCTGGCTTAACTGAATTTGATACAGGGAACATTCTGAGAAACTAGCTGAACAGAAGTAGCATTCTGAGGTGGTCTAACAAGGATTTATGCTGTGTGGATGGGAAATGTTAAGCCTGGTTATACATGCAGAAGAATGATCTGGCAGAAGAAACATTTGGCTGCCGCTGGGAAGACTGTGGTTTTGATTGCTCCTTATGTTAGAAACTGCTTGCAAATAGAAAATCAGCACAGCAAGCAAAAGGCTGGACTAGAATCTTTCTCGCAGTATTAATTTTCTATTTGCTGTAAGCTTTGTTACATAGGGGGACCTTAAAAGATGTCATCTCCACCTGCAGTCTGCAGTAGTATATTCTGTTCTGCCACCTCATTCCTACTTCATTCTCCTTGTGTAGCTCAAGCCTTAACCTGAAGAGATCCTTGGAAGCTGCAATGTTCCCTTTTGCTTGCAGGTCAAGAATAGAGTACTCACTCAGGTTCTTGCTCTTAGATTCACACAGCAAAGATGGGTGTGTGTTCAAAACAACATCCATTTATTAGCAAAAAGTTACACAGATGAAAGCAACTGGTTTCAGGACAAGTGTGCTCATGCAGTCTATGGGCTTTTCCGTATTCTGATTTTCCTTGCTTGTGTGTTCCTGTTGCTTTGGGGGGGTGTCTTTCTGTTCTGCATGTGTTTTGCTCCCTCTGGTGATCGATTCAACATTACATCAGTTTATGTCTGGCATTAAAATCTTGCAGTTTAAATCTGCAGGGAGATATGCCGGACATAAAGCGGTGTAATATTGAATCAACCACTAGAGGGAACAAAATGAATGCAGAACAGGAAAAACCTCAAAGCAACAGAACACACAAGCAAGGATAATCAGAATGTAGGAAAGCCCTACAGTTCAAACCAACAAACAGAACCCAGCAAGGATGAGACTAAACCAACTCACATAAATATCAGAGGGGGGAGGCAGATTGTTCCATTGTAACGTATACAATAAATATATCACAGAAAGGAAGGAATCTTCTGGAGGGCTTGAAACTGCTGTTACTGGTTTGGCATTACTCCGGGATATATTAGCTGGGGACAGTCCTGAAAAGCAATTAACTAAGTGGATTATAGGGGGTTATGGAACCTGCAAAGGCTCATCATCTTATGATGTTAGTGCTACTGCTGTCTATGGCACGGTGTTCTACAGAACAAAAGGAAGGGAAACAACAAGACATCTGCTGATTATCCAGCTGTTTCTTTTCTCACCACAGACGAAGCAGACGTCAGGATGTTCGGCATGGCAACCCCATCCGTCAGTGCAGGGGCTACAATTCCAATGGTGAGTGCCACACCTCCAGCACAGGAAACAGAAAATGGCATCACTCCTTGGCAACAGAACTGAAGATCTCAGTGAGCAACTGGCTCTGTACCTCCTAGCCCTGTGCCTACAAATCGGTTCTAGGACTGCACTTCCTCTCATTGTGGCTTAATTGAAAGATCAAATGGAAGTCAAGAGAGGGTGGGATACCTTGATTAATAAGTACACCAAAGATGAGTTGTCTTCTGCATTTCCACATGTGAAGAAACTTGCATATTCAGCAAAATATCAATTTTCAAGAATCTCAGCTGCCTTTTGAACATAAAATGTCAAGCTTCTAGATGATATTTAGCAAAGTTTTAATAAGCTATTTTAAACAGTTAGATTTGAGTCCAGTAGCACCCTACAGATCAACAAGATTGGGGGGGGGCGGCTATAAGCTTTCAAGAGTCAATGCTCCTTTCATCAGATACCAGCTACCAGATGAAACTTTGATTCTCAAAAGTTTATATCCTGAAAAACTTGTTGGTCTCTAGGGTGCTACTGGACTTGACCCACATGGCTACTCTCTGATTTTATCTCTTTAATGAAGTACTTTCATGAAGAAAATTATTCAATGGACATAAGATTGTTTTCCATTTCCCCCCATGTATACTTTTGAAAAACAGATTATAGAAGAACCCAGTGACTGGGAAACACCCTAATAATATACATGCTGAACAAAATGGGCTGATAGATTACCCCGGCGTGTGAGTTGGATGGATAAATTTGGCAGTGATAGGAAAGGAGTAGGCGCTGCTAGGAATATATTGCTCAGTAAGCGTTGAGCATCCCTTTAGCACATTTTAATCTGGTGCCCATATGCTGTCTTCCCGCCTCCAGCCAGCAAGAACACAGTAGAGGCTGTCCAGTACGGGGTGGAAGGAAGCACAGCCTTTCTGGAGTGCCAGCCACGCTCTCCTCAGGCCTCCATCAAATGGCTGCTCCAGAAGGACAACAGTGACCGAAGGAAAGAGGTGTGAGCAGCATACAGACGGGGCTGGGATTCCCTGTGTGGAGTTTGGAGAAGGAGAGGGGAGAGAAGGCCGCAGGAAAGTGACAGTGGTTGGTAACACCTTAAGAAGAGAAGAGTAATAATTCTCCTGCTCCCATTGCGAGTTACAGTATTAGAGCTACATATTCACTTTTGTTATTTACAAAAACTTTATGTGTAGTTTTTCTCTGCCCCCTTCAAAGTTTGTCTACTTTTGTCCAAATTCTGGACACTGGAATAGGGATGCCGACAGGTCGGACCTGGGGATCCCCTGGAATTCCAGCTCATCTCCCGACTTCAGAGATCAATTCCCCTGGGGAAAATGGCTACTTTGGAGTGTGGACTCCAAAGGCATTGTAACCCCCTAAGGCCCCTGTCCTCCCTAGACTCCATCCCCAAATCTCCAGGAGTTTCCCAACCTGGATCTGGCAACCCTACTCTCCCGTCCTGCGCCGGTGGCCAGGGTGGACCTGGTAACCCTACACTGGAAGGAAATAAGCAAAAGCCCTCAAAGGCATCCTGCGCCGGTGGCCAGGGTGGAAGGAAATAAGCAAAAGCCCTCAAAGGCTTGGTTTTAAGGCATCAGGGAACTGTGCACTCCCTGAGCGAGCACGCATAAGACATGGCCCACAAAAAGCTCAGGTGCCATGAAAACAGAGGAACTGAGGAACCCCAGAGCTCATTTGGTCAAGGCCCTTGCAGAAGAGGGGCTAGTCAGATAAAATTTTAGGGGTCTGGTCACCTGGCCGGTGGTGGTGGGCATGGAGCTGAGCAAGTCTTGTAATGAGTTTTCATATGATGTGTGCTTGGGTGTGAGGGGAGAGAGGGCAGAAGTGCCGGGTCTGTGGTGGCTCTCAGCATCCCCGCGAAACCGACTGACCTAAATGGTAATCACATCTCAGCTCCGGAGGCTGCACCACTTCACCACAATGGCTGCTAGTCAGGACAGAGACTTAGTGGGTGGAGCCTAGGAATGACAGGAAACAGGAAGAAGGGACAGAGAAGCCAGGTGGGTGAGAGCCAGAAAAGTCACTGACAATAAGTATGCTCTGTTTCACCCCACAATGTGCTCTAACGTCTCCACTGTGGTAAGGGTGTCTCTCTGGCCTTTCTCTCCTCCAGCTGCGCACAGAAGGACGGGTGCTGAGGACAGAGCAGGGGCTGCTGTTGCGATCCTTGCAGCTCTCCGATGGAGGCCTGTACTCCTGCACGGCCACTGAGAACAACTTCAAGCACACAGTCGCCAAAGTGCAGCTGCACGTACTGAGTAGCGAAACCGTCCATGCGGTGCTTTTCCAGTCGGAGGCTCCCGCCCCTTCCGCGGCAGCCATGCGAGCTGGCCTGCCCGGCACCTTCAGCTCCCACTACCACGACCTGGTGCAGCTGCTCACCCAGCCCGAGATGGGACTCATCAACCAGTACTGCCAGGGCTACTGGCGGCACGTGGCCTCCAGCCACAAGGAGACTCTGGCTGGGCTCAAGGCCAAGGAGCTGCACGACCAGAAGAAACCTCGGAATCGCCGGAACCACCAGCCAGATACGGATCCCCACACATGAAACTGACCGAGGGACTTTGTAATGACAGTGCTTTATTTCCCCCCCATTTTAATATTAAAAATATATATAAATATATATATATATATATATATATATATATATATCTACACAAACACGCCCCGCTGCCCCTCAGGACAGTATTTATTTGTAGGTTGTACATAATCCTTGGGTGATGCAGTCTCACCTCAGTGTGAGCCAGCCAGGAACTTGGAGGCGTCCCATCTGGCGGCTTGCTCTTCCTTCCCTCTTTTTATCTACAGTACTGTAAAAAAACAAAACCCTCTTCTGGGGGGAGGGGGATTGAGGAGAAGAGGACATCTCTCACACGCCAGCCCAAAGCACACAAGGGGGAGGGGAGGGGCGGGGATAGCCGGAGCAACTCATAATAAGGCCTGTGCCTTGTTAGCTTCGTGGAACAAAACCTTCTTTCGTGGAATCTGGATCCTGAATGGCTAATTAGAGGCCTTCCCGCCTAGATCATCATGCGCAAGCTGGGATTTTTATTTTTATTTTGGTGCTACCATCATTGAAAGCATTCCTCCTTGGTAAAAATAAAGGCTGCTGTCACACACCAAGCAGAGTGAAGATTAGAGCCACAGGGAGTCTCATACCCCTGCCAGCACTCCCACCAGAGGTATGCATGAACTCCTGCGATGCCTACAAAGACCTTTAACACCTTTCCATTCCCTCCATAAATTTCTGTGGTTCAAAGAAGTCTATGAGGGGACTATCCAGTGTTGAAGGGTTTTTGGGGGGAGGGGCTATACCACATGATGAGCTGGACCAATCTAAGGGAAACACTCATCAAGGATATGCATGCATAGTCTATGGTGCTCCTACATCTGCTTGGAGCAAGTGAATACCACCAATAGGAAGCTGAAGAACAATATTGTGATTGTTAATGATTCTGTCTTTGCAGCATGGGTGGCATGCCTCTGCGGGGTGCATTCTTCAAAAGTCTCTACACAAGGGTAGTAGGTGACCTGTGGCAATAGATAAGACCCCAAGGGTGGCTGTGTGTATCATTTTGTGAATATGACTATGATCCTAGGCACCCAGCTTTGCTAGGCCACTTTGCCTGATGGCTCAGGGCCCATGTGTGAGGGCCTCATCCAAATGCGTTATGCCAGGGAGATGTAATGTACATATTAACCAAAGCTACTCTCCCATAGTGCAATGCGCCAGAAACCTTTGAGGTCAAAGACAGCATGGGAATGGAAAGGGTTTAGACATCGGCTGAACAGCCATCAGAACACTTGGCTTCTCTGCTGGCCTATGGATGACTCAGTGCCTCAGTTTCCTTACCTGGTTATTTATTATAATTTAATTATATTAATTTGCTCACTGCAAGTCTAGATCTTCAGTCCATTAGCACTGAACTATGCAGTACAAGCCTAGGAGAGATGGGACAGTCTCAGATATCTGTATGCCTCTGTAAGGAATCCTGTGGCATTTTCATCTCTGTTCAGTACCCCCCCACACACACACACACAGTCCAGTTTTCACTGTGGTAATAAAGGACAGCACATTGCTATGCCACACAACACTGAAATTAAGCATGCAACAATATTGTTGGGGGGGTGTAGGATTTATGAATCCCATTGTACAGGTGAGAATTTGCCCAGCAGATGTTCTTCTGGGAATTAATCTCTTTTGACAAATGCAGAAGGAATTATTATGGTTCATGTCTGTGTTTCGGAACAGTGCAAGAGGATAAAGTGTCAGCGCTAAAGCATGGAAGAGAAAATAGCCTTCACAGGAAGCAGGACATATTTGCATGCTTACTTGTGTGCATGGACTCTGGCGAGCTTGGGGGACTCATGGAAAGTATTTTGTATACAGTGCAAAGAAGTCGAATATGACAAAGGATATAACTGGGCTTTGTGTAAGCCAGACTTGTCAAGGTTTGCCCCTGACAGGTATGTAGGAAATAAAAGAACAGAGTGCTTCTGAGTCTGTTCACAGTGCACGTTCTTTACTCCTGGGTAGCCACAGCAAATGCAGACACCTGGGAGTATGAAGAAGGGCTTCTAGGGCAAAAAGTGGAGACCCAAGACAGGTTTAATCAAACTCCAGATACAGCAGTCTCTTGAATTCACCACCACCACCACCCATCCCTTGGTCTGTGTTGTCCTTCCACTTTTTATTTTGCTGTAGCAAAACATTTGGTTCCCCTTTTCTCTTGGGGTTTTTCCTTCAGGCTGGTTTCACTGATATGGGCATAACTTCTACTTTTTCCTCCTCAAAATTCTGGCCAAATTCCCAGTTTGGAAAATTTCACATGGCTTCTATTTGTGAAGTTACTGTGATTTACAGTTGCTGAACATCAGTGCTTTCAATCTCCCATTGCAGTGGCCTATGCAAGGAGAATTGTTTGACTGGTGTCCCTGTAACATAGCTAGTAACAAGAAACTACGGGGGCTGTGATTACAAAGAGTATGTGTACAAAGACCACATCTGCAGCCATCAAATTACCTTATATATGTAGCCTAGAGAAGCAAGGGTGAAAACTAGGCTGTTTCTTGTTCTTTGCCCCCTGTTGTCTGCACTGCGAGGGACAGTCTCAATACAGAAAAAGTCTGTTCTGTGCCCTTTAGACTCTGGGGCCACACATCCTGTGGTTAACAAAGAGGACACCCTTTTCATGTTCATAAGCTGTGGGCCCAACCCGTTCACCATCATTCCTGCGGGTAGGCTCCCTTCCCCTGCCAATTTGGGTGATGCGTGTGTAATTTCTGTTGTAAATAGCTGTAAATCAAAATGTAACAAAACCAGGGAACTGGAGCATCTGACAGGTAGCGCCTTGTGACGAATTCAAGCGCAGAGCCACTTCGCGCCTGTACTGTGAAATTCCTGTGGATAGAACCAGCTAATAAACACTGGCTTTGTTTTTGAAAACTTGAGACTCTTTCACCTTGACTCCAACTCTTCAAAAACGTCCCTTTATTAGAGCTGAGGCTTTCTTGTATTCCTTTAGTTCATTTGAAGGTTTCAACCCATTCTCTGGATTACTCAGAATCAGAAAAATTATTTAAATTAAACTTGCGAATGTTTGTTATTAAAATATTATCACACCTACAGTTAAAGAGCAGAGGCCACTACACCTATTCCACTAAAACAGTATATTAGATATAGTTGGTGTGCTGTAGTTGTTCATGTCAGATATGCCAGGGAATCCTGGCGCTGAATTCCCACTTGAGCCATGAAGCTCATTCAGTGGTCCAGTCTTCTCTAGTGCCTCATTCATACTGGCCACATAGGGCTGCCAGCCTGTATGCAGGCTGGAGTTCTCCCAGGATTACAATAGATTTCCAGACTACAGAGGTCTACAGACACCGGTTTCCCTGGGGAAAATGGCTGCTTCAGAGGATGGAGTGGATTCTAATGGCA